TTCTCTCTGTCTTTCCCTCTCTCTTCCATTCTTCCTAAAAATCAGTGGGAAAATATCCTCAGGTGAGGATTAACAAAAACAACAACAACAACAACAACAACACACACACACACACACACACACAAAGGCCAACACAGGACAGGTCAGCTAAACAGGCAGAAGACCCTAAACTGCTGGGACCTGGAAAGGTGAAGTTCAAGGTCAGGAAGGAAGACAGGCCCAGAGAGCAGTGTTGGGCTGCTGAGAATTTTGGGACAAACAAACAGGGAAGCATGGTGAGGAGAGATGCTTTTCCAGTGGAAAGAACTTGTATAAACGGAGGTAGATTGGATTCTGCCTCGTCGGTTCACCAAGCACAGGCACAAACAATGGAGGAGTCAATGTTTTTGAATTTCAAAGCTAAATGGGCGTTCTGGCTTCCCACTCTGGAAATAACACTTTAAATAACCTACAACATTCTCACATTTCTGGAATCCAACCGAGACGGAGGTCAGAGGGCAAGCAACCAGCCTGAGATCGAAGGGAAAAAGGCCTCTCTCGGAGAGATGGGAAGAGGGCTGGCTCACCTGAGACAGTTGTGTGCACAAGAGTTCAGCCGACACGTTCAACAAATTACTGAAACCCGGGGCCGGCAGTTACAGATGGCCTGTGACCTTTGGCCCTGATGTCATCCTGTAATGATTACGTAGCAAAGGGATTTGCAGAGGTAATGAGGGCTAGTAATTAACCAATGGGAGACCACCCAGGCGGGTCTAGTATCACAGGAGGCCTGATCTTCGGGGATCCGATGAAGGCCCATGAGAAGGCCCATGGCAGGGACTGGGAGAAGCCTCTAGAAGTTGCTCCATCCTCAGCTGAGGGCTGGGATACGGGACTTGGACCCAGAGCCACAGGGAACTGGACCCTGCCACACCCTGAATGAGCTGCCAGGGGATTCTTTCAGCTTCGGGACCAGCCCACCCCAGAGGCTGAGACCTGGGAGAGAACAAGTCACCCACAAGGGATTTTTGGCCTGCAGGACTGGGAGCCCACAAATGGGGTTCCATCGGCCTCTGTGATTGAGAAGGAAGGCACCAGGTGTGGCTGCTGTTGGATAATCCTCTGGGTCTGCAGACACTGGGGGCTTCGAACTCAGGGGCAGGCTCTGCACAAACCCAGCCGGCACTTAGCAGAAAGATAAGGGCAGGTCCCGGGACAGAACTCCTGGGGGAGGCCGGGCACAGGAGGGGTCCCAGCTGCCACCAGCATTCCCTGAGCACAGTGCGACATCGCTACCACGCTCATCTCCGTAACACTCCTGTACCCCCAGGACCAGGGAAAGGGACGAGGCCAGGATGTGGGCGCTGGAGGGAAGGGGAGAGCAAACAACCTACAGTCAGGGGCAGAGAAAAGCAGAGTGAACACACCACTGTGAGGCTTGTAAGTGGGATAAAGTCTCCTGAAACGGCAAAAGGACAGAGACTCAGAGGTGGAGTTGAAACGGAAGCCTGGCTGAGGGACGGTGGGGCGGGAAGGGCAGGAGTGCCTCTGGGACGGGTGGGCTGAGCCGCATCAGGTGGAGTGGAATTCAGGACAGAACGGTTACGGGCAGAGGCCTCCAGATCTGGAAAAGCTGGAGCAGCGAGACACGTGGAATTCTGAAGAGCATGCCGTAAAAATCCACAAATCAAAGACTCTTGGAATAAAGGAGACGTCACCAAAAGAAAAAAATCACAGTGGGAAAATTTACCGCATCACTCTCAGCCTGGATAAATTCGGGAGACAGACCCAGTGAGGAGTGTTGTATTTGTAACGGTTGATTTAATAGGTATAGTTCAACTTATTTTCAAACTAGAGGCCCGATGCATGAAATTCGTGCAAGAGTAGGCCTTCCTTCCCCAGGCTGCCGACACCAGCTTCCCTCTGGCACCCAGAACCCGGGCTTCCCTCTGGCTGCCAGCAGGCACCCGGGACCCGGGCTTCCCTCGAAGCCCTGGCTTCATCCAGAAGATCGTCCAGAAGGACAATTAGCATATTACACTTTTATTATTATAGATGTGCATGGGACACATACATGTGAACATATGTGTAAAATGGAACACAGTCCCACCCTACCTCTCCTGGTTTCTCAGACCCTCACACCTCACAAGTCCTGCCACCACTCAGCCAGGCACCTGGGCCCTGGGATGACCCACCCCCCATCACCACAGCAGCTTCAGCTGGAGGGGTCTTGAAACAGAAATTACATTTTGTCTTACAAATCTTTTCTGGGCTGAGCTCCTCTGTGCTTTCTCTGGCCCCTCCCCTGCAGGACCATCCCTGTCCTCCCTCACCCATCCATCCAGGGCACTTGTCCCGTGTCCTGCCCCACGAGTCCCTTCTGCTCTGCTGCCCACAGCCACCTAACTTCTCAGGGTGAGGCCCGAGACCCTGGTCCCCCAGGGCCTCCCAAGGGCCAGTGCTCCGCTCCAAGCACACTGTTCCCCACGCCTCCGAAGTCCTCAGGAGCCTCAGCTTTCCGGGGCTGGGGTAGTGAGGGGGAAGCCGGCCCCCATCATCCAGGCCAGCCCCTCTCTGGGCCCAGATTCCTCACCTGGAAACTGCAGACCACCAGCCACCTTCACAGCACAGAGCCCACATGGGGTCACTTACTGAGTCCATCCTGTGCAGCCTGCTTCGTGTGTGAGTGACGTGGGGTAAAAACCGCCCCACAGGCCCTGGATGAGCTGTTTGGTTGGTTGGAGGGTCAACCCATATACCAAAAGGTTTTGGGTTTGATTCTGGGTCAGGGCACATACCTAGGCTGGGGGTTCAATCCATGGTCGGGGTGCGCACAGGAGGCAACAGATTGATGTTTCTCTCTCACATCCATCTCTCTCTCTCTCTCTCTCTCTCTCTCTCAAAATCAATAAAACATCCTTGGATGAAGATTAAAAAAAAAAAGTCCTGTAACAGCATAGACCTGACCCCATAGAGAGAGAGCACCGAGGCTGGGCCACCCTATGCCTGCTGGTGTGGTCACAGGAAGAGGCCGGTCTGCCCCTGGTCTGCCTCGGGCTGGCTCTCACCTAGGCCAACTCACTCTGCCCAGGACTCAGTTTCCCCAATCTGTAAAATAAGGGTTAGGACCACCTCAAATACAGCTCTGCAGGGACAGCCCTGATAAGCTCTGTGGGAACCCAGTGCCCCTGAGGCCACCTGCCCACAGGGACCTGAAACCTCCTCTCCCAGCAGCCCTTTCAGCCTCCCCTTTCCCCTCCCGGCCCTGGGGTGTGGGGTCCCCACCTGGAGCCGCCTCTTCTCCTGGCCTGCTGTCCGCACACTCGCCAGGTGCTCCCTCTCCAGCCTCTGAAGCACCTCCTTCTGCAGGGCCCTGGTGGCCTGGGCACTGCCTGCCTCCCTCTCTGCCTGGCGCCAGCCTGTGGGGCAAGCAGGGTGGCTTGCCTGGTTCCCAAGGTCTAGGGACTCCCATACGGGGGATCGCCCCTCCCATCTCAGAGGCTGGGAAACTGAGGCCCGGGGAGTTTTAGTGACTGGCATCTAGATGGCGGGGGCTGAGAGGCTCCCCTCTGACAACCTTGCTCCTCCCTCAAAGCTCAAGGCCTGGACCCCAGGCCCCTCCCCAGCCCACCCTTCTCTCAGGCCTTTCCTTCCAGACATTCAGGCCCTGGGCCTGGCTCCCTGGGTGACCCACTAATGGGGTGAGGGACAGAAATGCAGTGGGGTGACCCGCAGGGCAGGGGCCTCTCTGAGGGCAGAGACCCAATGGGGGGGATGGGCCTTGTGACTGGGAGGAAGGCTCCAACTTTGGGCACAGCCAGTGCAGAAGCCCAGGTAGGAAGAGAATGCCATGGAGGGAGGCCTCTCACAGTGTCAGGAAGTGCTGTCCCCCAGTGCAGGGGGGTGCTTGTTTGGTGTTACCCCATGGCCCCAGCCTGAGCTGTTCCCAGGACTGCACTCTGGAGGCCAGGAGTGGGTGTTCTGGGGGACCCCCAGGAGCAGGTGGGGAAGGGAGGTCACCTTCCTCCGCCTGGGCCAGTGCTGTCTTCAGCTGCCCCACGTGGCTTTGGGCTCGGGCACGCTCCCTCTCCACCTCTCTCAGCCAGCTGCTCAGGTGGCGAACCTGGGCTCGCCAGTTGTCCTGGGAGAAGGTCAAAGGTCAGCAGGCAGGGCTGCGGGGAGTGGGAAGCTAGAGGTTTTGGGGGTCTGGTGGGCATTACAGAGGCACTCAGGACAGGCCCTAGGGAGGGCTTGGAGGCGCTGTGCCCGCATGTCTAGGTTTGGGGTATGCACGTAGAGTCGGGGAATAGGTCATGCCATGACTCTCAGCCTTTCCCATAGCTCCTCCCACCTGGCAGGTTCGGAGGGGCATCCCTGGGGTGACAAGATGGGGAGTCCATGTGAGTAGCTGCTGGGAGCTTGGTCCCGTGTGAGAGGTCACGGGGGACACTCTGCAGGTGATGTGGCCAGCCCCTGGGATGGTTCTTCAGGAGACAGGCGTGGGCATGGTGATGCCCCTGCCCTGGACCCAGGTGGACAGCACACAGAGAGTGGCCCCTCCTGTCTCTCGGAGCCTTCAGGGCAGGGCCTCTCTGCCCCTTTTTACCCGCTCCTGCTGGGCATCCCGCAGCTTCTGCATGAAGTCCCTCAGGGCGTCCTGCACAGAGGCCACGTCCATGTCTGGGCCCTGCTGTCCTGGTGCGGGTGAAGGCCATCGAAGTGGTGAGCGGGACCTGGCAGGGGGGCTGGCACTGTGCCTCCCAGAGTGACCCTGAGAACCGTCCAAACCTGTAGGACAGTGAGGTCTGAGGGGACGGACTCAGTGGCACATGGATGTCCTGTCTCCCTTTCTCTCTGTTGTCCCCACCCACAGGGAGCCGGGGATGGGGCACAGGGTCCAGGCCCTTATGGTGCAGAGTGTGAGGCCCAGGGAGGGGTGGGGGTGGCCCAGGTAGGTGGTGGAGCTGGGAGAGGAGCCCCCTGAAGCCACCAAAGACACTGACCTTTGGTGGGGGAGCCGGGCCGTTTAGGGGAGGCAGAGGGGCCCTGTGCTCGGAGCCCCAGCTCGCAGCAGAGTGTGGACCAGAGCCGGCTCAGCTGGCCCTGTGCATCCCGCCTGGCACCCTCTGCCCGGGCCAGCTCCTGCTCCAGGCTATGGACGCGGTGGCAGGCCCTGTCCAGGCGCGCCTGGAGGCTGTCAGTCACACTGCTGGCCTGCTGCAGCTTCATGGTGGCCCCGTGCAGCTCAGCCCGGAGGCTCTGTTCAGCCCTGTGGCTCTCACAGAGGCGCTCCTTCACTTCCGCCAGCTTCTGCTGCAGCCTCAGGACCTGTGGCAGGGCCGTGGGGGCTCAGATGGAGGTTGGATGCTAAGGGACCTCTGAAGACTGGCCCTGGGCCTTTCGCTCCAGCCACTCTTTGGCATATCACAGCTGGAGGGACCAAGGACCTGCCTCACAGCCCATGTTTGGCAGGGGAGACACCTGAGCCCAGGTCGGGAAGGGCACCCCAGGACCATGGAGTAGATTCGGGCAGGCAGCAGAGAGCCCCCAGCAGCCTCGTGAAAACCTGGGCCAGACAGGGCCGTGGCCCGGGCTGCACCTCCTGCGGCCAGCCCCTTGCATGTCTGCCTGCTCAGGGCCTGTGGTAGCAAAGGCTGTGTCAGCATCACCTGAGACCAGGGCTGGGGAACCCCGGGGTGCCACCACAGACTTCCAAAACGGATAACACCACGGAAAAATAGAATGTCGTCCACCCCGCACACAGTGCACGGAGGCTGAGGGGGCAGGGAGGCGCTGGGTGGCTTCCCCGGACGCCCCTGGCTGGGCCTCCCTTGTTCCCTCTCTCTTCACTTCAGCCCCTGGCAGCCCCCTCTCTGCACTGTCCTTGCTGGGCCATCTTCCCCTTTCTTCTTCGGGCAGCCCAGCCCCGGTGAGGGGGCCCTCCCTGACCCTGCTGTCCTTATGCTGTGGTCATCGCCCCACTCCCAATTAGGCCACTTGTTTGCTGCTGCAGATCCTGGTCATGGCCTGTGTCCCCAGTCCTCCATTCTCACAAGGTGAGTGAATAGGGCAATAAACAGGGACCCCCCCCCCCCCGCCCTCGGAATGTGCACAGGTTTTGGGGAGGCAGCCAGGCCCCAGCTCCAGGCTATGTAGCCCCTGCCAGACTGTAACCCCCGGGGTAGGAGGCCTGGCGCCAGTGCAGGTGGGCCTCATCTCATCTCCCTCCCTGGGTGGCCGCAGTATAACGACCCCATTCACAGATGGAGGTGAGGGGCTGTGAGGTGACACAGGGGTCACATGGGCCATGGGAAGTAAACCATGTTTCTGGGTATGGTGGGTACTTGATAATAGCCACTCTGCACATGACTTTGGGTCTGAACCCGGGAGCCCCACACAGGCCGAGGCCCAGGGAGACCTTCTCAGGCTGTGTGTGGGGGGTCCAAGGCCACCTGGCCGTGGCAGCACAGCCCGGCAGCAAACAGAACCCGAGGGGCGGTGCCTGGGACTGAACAGAGGGTCTTTCAAGCTGGTGTGGGGCTGTGAGAGCTGGTGGGGGGAGCTCACGGCAGAGTGCATGTGGGAGGGTGTGGGGACATGTGTGCAGGCGTTTGGGGAGAGCTCATGGGAGAGTGTGTGCCTGTGTGTGCAGGTGTTGGGGCGTGGGACACGTGTGCAGGCCTGGGTGGAGGTGTGAGCTCAGAGACCTGAAGCTCTTGAGAATTGGTCTTTTCAGGGTCCCCCTGCCTGTCCGCAGGCTCAGAACTCTCTTTGCCTGGGTGAGACTCTGTCCTTGACTAAAATGTGATGAAACGAGGGTGAGAGCAAGGCCTGGGCGACCCTGGACCTCTGCCTCCCCTTCTGGGCCTCAGCCCTCTACCTCCTTCTGGGCGTCTTCCCGGGCAGCGTCCACCTCAGCCGCCTGCCTCTGCAGCTCCAGGGCCTCTCGCCAGCTCTGCTGCTGCCGCTGCGAGTCCTGTGCACACTGGGCCTGCAGCTGGCACACCTCTTGGCTTTTCCTCTGGTTCTCGGTCTCCAGCATCTTCACCTGGAGGGTGGGTACGGAACTGATGGGGGCCCACATCCCCTCATAGGAGCTCAGGCAGCCTCCTGCACCCCTGCCTCTGCTCACGTGTCCTGGGAAAAAGCCTCCCTCCCGGGCATCTCCCCACACCCCAGGACGCTCAGGCCAAGTCCAGCTCTGGAAGGGGTCTGTGCAGTACCCTCAGACCTTTACCCTCAGCCACTCCACAGACACCTGGCACCTCCACCCTGGGGCCAGGACCCTGTGGAGCGCAGAGCTCAGAGCTCAACGTCAGCCCTGGTGGCCCAGCTTACCACCAGCATCAGCCACTGGACATGTGAGAGGAGGTGCCTCCAGGAGACCCAGTCCCTGCTGTCAAGCCCCTGCTGTGGAGGCTTCCCTGAGGGTGCCTGTGCTGTGGGGCAGAGCCAAGCTCCTGCCTGTGCCCTCAGGCTGGATTTCTGACCCTCAGGGTTCATGAGCCTCAGAAGGTTGTTTTAGGCCATTAGGTTTGAGGTTTGTCATCTGTGCCCCATAGGGCAGACCCACCCAGGAACCCTGTGAGTCTGAGCAGGGCCCTTCTGCTGGTGGCTCCAAAGGCACAAGGCACCTGGGTGCCCTGGTGGGGGGGCCCCAGGGTTGGGGAAAAAGGAAAGTGGCATGTGTGAGGCTCCAGAGAGCTTGGTCACCTGACTGCGGAGCTCCCGGAGCTCCCGGCAGGTGTCTAACTGGGCCCGCTCTGCCTCCTGCAGGCTGGCCCTCAGCTTGCCAGCCTCCTTCTGGGCTGCGGCTCGGGCCTCCTCCAGGACCAGCACCTTTTGCTCCTTTTCTTCCTTGGCCCGCTGAAAACTGAGCAGAGCATCATTGGCTGGGGCTGGGGGAGCCACCTGGGGGCTCTGGCGTCTCCCATGGTTACCGTTCAGGCTACCCTGCAGGCTGTTCACCTCACTCTATTGAGACATGCCTAAGGCGTCCCAAAGCCCAGCCTCCTTGGGGCTGCCTGTCACCTTTGGGCAGTGGGTTTGAGTGCCCAGCTGTCCTGGCCCCTCTCTATGTTTCCAGCTTCTCTCACCACTACTCCCCTCCCTCCAGCCCCGGCCATTTCCCACTGGCCACTGGGGCCCATCTTTCCTGCCGGAGGGGAACTCCCTGAGGGCAGGGACGGGTCTGTGTGTCCAGGTCTCCCCCTCATGGCCAACAGTCATCATTCTGGATGGGTAGTCGGCACCCTGGACCTGCCGGGTATATCCCCCACCATCATCTGGCCCAGCTTAGTAGGAAACCCCTTTCCTACCACGGCCGGGGGGGCGGGGCAGGGAGCTTTGGGGCAAGGGGGACTCCCCACAGCCAGTCCATGGTGGAGCCATACCTGGCCTTCTCCTGCTCAGCCTTGCACACTGCGGCCTGCAGCTCGGCGTTGGAACGCTGCAGCATGTCCTTCTCGAGGGCCTCGTCCCCCAGTGCACGGTGGGCATCCACGACCTCCCTGCGCAGCCCCTCGAGACTGTCCTCACTGCCCTGCAGCTCCCTGCGAAGCACAGCCAGCCCCTCCTGGGCCTCCCCCAGCTGTGCCCACAGCTGCTCGGCCTGGAGAAGGAGCGTGTAGTTCTAGGGGCCATGGGCCAGCCCGGGTGGGGGGTCAGGAGCTATGGGTCCAGCAGGCAGAGCTGCTGCTCTAGGGACAGCCACAGGCAGCACACAGCCTCGGGCTCTGGTCTGCAGTGCTAGTGTCCTGCTGGCCTCCTCTCCCAAGTGCTTGCAGAAGCAGACAGCCTGGTTCTGCCAACCTGTGGCTGCAGGGTGACTCCCCCGGGCCAGTCCCAGAGCCCAGGCAGGTGACACCCTGACTTTTCCTAGTTCTGGTCCTGTCCTGTGCTCCCTCCCTGGACCCCAGGGTTGATGGATACTTCGTGCATGGGACACGGCTCTGCCCACCCATCAGCACTGTCCCCACCAGATCCAGTACCCACTGCCCGATGGCCCTTGCCACCTGTCGGGCTCTGGTGTCCACTCCTCTCCTTCAGTAATGGCGTGGCACCCAGGGTCACTGTCTGCCCCGGCATGGGCAGCAGTGTCAACGCCGAGGCTCCTGACACTGGGCACCGGTCCCCTATCGGAACCGGAGGCAGTGGGAGGGCGGGTCTCTGGTGTCCTTGGAATCCTCCGTTGGCACCAGGGCCCACTGGGCCAGGCTGTCCAGCTGCTCGGGCAGGGAGTTCTCGCTGTGCTCTGCATGGAGTGCCCCAGTGTGAGCCTCCTAAACTCGAGGTGGGCAGTGGAGGCCCATGGTAGGAGGCTCCCACGTCCAGTCCGCACCTCAGGGAGCTGACCCAGGGAGGGGCAGAGGCTGCAGGTGGGACACCCACCACCTGGAACCAGGACCTGTGTTCTCTCCTGCACCAGGCCCTACACCGGGGGATTCTAGGCAGAGCCTGCTGACACCAAAGTGTGGGTGGGGGTCAGGGGCCCTACTCACCTTGGGGCACAAAGGCCCTGGGCTCAGCCCTGCTAGGAGGGTCTGGGGGAGAGTGTAGGCTGGGGAAGGGGCAGCCCAGCCTTCAATGCCCAGGCTGTGGGGTGGGGGTTCTGCCAGGGCGCCTGGTCTTTTGCCTCCTGAGCTGGCTGTGGCCCTAACCAGGACACTCTGCAGAAAGCTCTGTTCCAATTCGCATGTCCCCCAGGAGGAGACAGAGGAAGCTAGCGGGGACATGCCAGGGAGGGGAAGCCGCAGGAACTCTGGGCCATGTCAAGACGCCCGTTTGCCAAGAGCAAACTCCACTTTGCTGGCTGCTTCTGTGGGACACTGTCCAGGCCCCGGCCGGCCTGGCTCCTGCACCCGCCTGCTGTTATTGTTGTTCTGTTTTTGGGAAGGGCCTGAGCCCCCCCTTCGCTCTCCTCCCACCCCCCACATGTGGGAGCCACAAGTTGTGTAGAGCATTTTCCGCTGAGCTCAGCAGAAATCCACCCAGAAGGTCAAGGACCAGCAAAAGGGCCTATCCATCACAAAAGAAGCTGTTTTCATTTCCCAGGACAAGGAGATGAAAACAAGCAAAACAAATGCAGGGCCCCTCCCCCGCACCTCCACCCACCTCCCTCTGTCTCCCGAGAACAACCATCCCTTTTACAGGAATTTTACAGCCAAATCGCTTAATGTGATTATAATAATTATTTCTTTACTAAAAATTGTATAAACAGCCTCTTTTGAAATCTCCTGCAGGGAGGTGGTCGAGAGCTCTGCAAAGAGGAGGGAGGGGAGTTGAGGGCCCTGGCCTGCGTGTGGCATGTTCATTTGTGCACGCATGGCAACACACATGTGTGATTGGTGTGCACGTGTGTGTGCATGCAGCATGGTGACCGTGTGGTTGTGCAACTGCATACATGTATGTGTGAGCACACATGGCATTATGTATGAGCATGCAAGTATGTATGGAAGTGCATGTGCTGCCTGTTGGACATACTAGTATGTGTGTACTTCATGGTGTTCACATGTGTTTACATGTGCATTGTGCCCACACATGAGTGCATGTGTGTGCATGCATGTGTGCACTGTCACTTTTTGTGTACACGTGTGTGCATGCAGGTCTGGGGTGTGCATGCGTGTGAGCCATGCAGTGGGTTCATGTGTGTGCATGTACACACACATGTGTGGACTCAGTCAGGGCTGCTGGAGGCCTGGATGTGCCTTCGGTTTAAGGACTGTGAAAATGTTATGGTTTCCATGGCGACCCTGGCCAGCCTGGCGCCTGTGAGGGCGCTTCCATGCTCCTCTTTCCCCTTCACCCCCCAGGCTCCCTGTCCGTCCCCCCACTCCCTTTCTGGAGGCCCCTCTCCAAGAACCTGAACTTGTACATCTCCCAGCTCCTCCCACTGCTGCCCCCAGTTTTAAAACCTCATTTTGTTTCCCCGTGTGGTCGCTGACCGGCCTGACTTTGAAATCTGTTGAAAGGAGACCTTTCTCTTTGGGGGCCAAAGTAAACAGCCTGTCATGTTAAATCACGCTCTCTTCCTCCGTCCACCCAGCCTGCCCCGGTGCTGGGGGAGGGCGAGCCCCTCCTCCCCCCGCCGAGCCTCCAGGCTAGTGCATGAGCTCGGTCAGCTGCCTGCCAGCCTTGGCACACTGCCCAGGGAGCACGCGCGCTAGAGCCGCCCATCCCTGCCTGCCGGCCCTACCTGGGCGCCAGCTTACCCTCCCCCAGCCCAATCCCGTGTCCTCCTGCCCTCCCCTCTCCCAGGCGCCCGAGTGCTGTCAAACCTACCTCAGGAACACCTCCCCAATCGCCTGCCTGCCGAGCTCCACCCGGCCTCGCTGGGGCCTTTCCTGCTCACCCTGCCCAAGACTGTCCCCACCCAGGACACCATCACAGGGCTCCTGGGGCCATGTCAGGCCCAGGCAGGGCCACCCTGCACCTCTGCTGCCTCTCTGCTCCAGGAGACCCCAAGGTGGCTTCACCCCACCCAGGCTCAGCTCCGTGGGGTCCATGCCTCACGCTGCTCACCAGGGATCTTCCCACAGCGTGTTGGATGGATGGGCCTCTAGGCTAATGGCCCAATTCCCTCTCCCCACCCCCCAGATCACACCTGCCTTCTCTTCCCTCTCCTTGTACTCCCCTCTCTTACCCCTCCTGGCACCTCCCTCTCTCCCCTCCGGGCACCCCCTCACCTCTCTGCCCGCATTGCTCCGCTCTGCCGCCATCTTCCGGAGACTGTGGTTCAAAGCCGAGGTCTCTCTCTCATGGGCCGAGATGGCCTCCTCAAACTGGGCCTGCAGGGCCTTCAGCTCCGCTGCCGTGGCTCTGACTGTGGCCTGGGGGGAGCAGTAAGCCATTGAGGCATCAAGGGGCTGCCCATGGCGGGTGGGGGCCACACGGGCAGCCACACAAAGTCCTGGGACCAGATGGGCAGCTCACAAGGCAGGTGGGGACCAGAGCAGGGACTGGGGCTCCACGGGACGGTTCTTGTCCTGGCTACAGCCAGTGCCACCAATGCCAGGTCCAGAGTGGACACAGTGGTGAAGGGTGGGGGCTGAGGCCCCAAGGGGCGTCCCTAAGGGAAGGGGCTGACCCTATTCCTCGTCCCCTGGGCCTTCCTCT